TGGCTGACCAAAACCAAGAAGACCTGCCCCGTGTGCAAGCAGAAGGTCGTGCCGTCTGACGGCGACTCCGAGTCCGAGTCCGAGTCGAGCGACAGCGAGGAGAACGAAGTGTCGGAAAACACTCCCCTGCTGCGATCTCTGGCCTCCACCAGCGCGCATTCCTTCGGCACCATGTCCGGCTCGCTGTCCCGTCCCGATGCCGAGTCCTCGGACTACGACGAGCGCAGCGACACCACCGACAGCGAGGAGGAGGTTACCGTGGAGACTGTGGTCGTACAGCTGCAGCAGGGGCGTCCCGACAACATGGAGGCCAGCGCTTGAGGCGTTAGCCGCCGCTAACTCGAACTCTCAATGAGATTCCAATACGTTTCACCGTCACTTACAGATTATCGTCACAAACCTGTTTAATGTTCGGCAATACTATGCAGCGAAATTTTATAAATCACGATTTCCCCCCAAATGAAGTGCGCAAATTTAGCCAACTTGGACGTCACCTTTGGGAATGTCGTTAGCGCTTGCTGCCAAACTCATCTCAAACCTGTATCCGATCGCGACCAACTGCATGTTTTATACGACACCATAAGACTTTATTAGCGACACTGACATCACCGTTTTAGTTTTGATCATTAACAGCGGAGTTAACACCAGTCACTCAAGTGATCTTGGAAGTGTAGTTAGGTATAACACATCATTTATATACTGTAAGTAGGAAGTAAGTTGGGTAAGTAGATTCGAAGGGTTTTTTGTTTTTTTTTGATAACACAACGTGAACTGTTACCGATTGTCTGGTTGCCTTTTAATGTTGCTTTACTGTAAATATACCTTTCTGCTCACCCTTGTTTCTAAATAGTCTACATTAATTTCTCTTCATGATTAAAATACTACACCTTTTGCTGTTTGTGTGTCGTTTTGTCATCCAGCGCTTTGAAACCGGCACATGGTTTTAAAGGTGCTGTATGTAATTTTTTTGACTGCATATAATGCTATATCTTTGCAGATATGTGACCCTGGAGCACAAAAGCAGTGTTAAGTCGCTGGGGTATATTTGTTTAAAAATCAGCGCAAATGTATCACAAATATACGCAAAATCCAAACCTTTGCGAATCATCATTGCAAGTCTACTGTGATCATGAATAAAATTAATGGTGGGGGGGAAAAAAACTTAATAATAAAATTGGTAAAAAAATTGATACAATTTTGTTACATTTTCTATTACCAAAAAATGACTGCAAATATATCATGAATATTGGATGCTACTACTACCATCATTGCGAATCGCTAGTCTACTTGACGTGATCTCGAGGAAACGTAATCATGAGGGAAAAACAAAGATTATAGTAAAATCTGATTAAATAAATTGACAAAAAAAAACTCAGCACAAATATATGACGAATATTGGATCGCTGTTTGAACATGGTAATGGTAAACTATATTATGAAGTGCTTTTCAAACATGTAACCCAGTAGATTCAGGTTTTCCCCTAAACCATACATCTTCATCAGTTCAGAACAAATGAAGAATTTTCCACAAGGTCATTGGCTTCACCAAGTGTCGAGTTGTTTCGGTTGTAAACAGTGGATTGGTAACATCCAAAACCTGCCGTCTCTGTGAACGCTTCAACCAACCGTTGAGTCTGCAGTGACAGATACGAGCTTCTCCTTATACGGTCACATGCAGCCATGGCCGTTTGTGTTCGTTTACTGCTTATATAAACACTGAGCTTCAGCGGAGCCGCTCCTTCATTGGTGGAAAGAAACCTGAAAAAAGCCAGAGGAATTTGAAGGAGGGCAGGACGAATTCCGGGACTTATTGAGCTTGAGCCACAAAACCCAGAATCTGAAAGCAAATGCTGCACGTTTATCAGTCATGTGCTGCAAGTGTGAAAATCAGAAGCCCTTCTATTAAAGATATTGATGTAATATATATATATATATATATATTGATTAAAAGGGTCATATGATGTTGCTAAAAAGAAGATTATTTTGTGTATTTGGTGTAATGAAATGTGTTTATGCGGTTTAAGGTTCAAAACACATTATTTTGCGCATACTGTACATTATTGTTTCTCCTCTATGCCCCGCCTTTTTGAAATTTTTACAAAGCTCATCGGTCTGAAAAGCGAGGTGATCTGTTTCTTAATTCCTCATAGGTGATTCGTATGACGTGTGTGCCATTTGTTTGGATGAGTATGAGGAGGGCGACAAGCTGCGGGTTCTTCCCTGCTCACACGGTGAGTTTCTGTCTCGTTCGGCCCTTGATCAGCAAAAAATACAAAATTGGTTAATTTGCAGCTTGAAAAATTGAGTTTTTCTTTTATGCCAAAAATCATTAGGATATTAAGTAAAGATCATGTTCCATGAAGATATTTAGTAAATTTCCTACTGTAAATATATCAAAACTTAATTTTTGATTAGTAATATGCATTGCTAAGAACTTCATTTAGACAACTTTAAAGATGATTTTCTCTATATTTAGATTTTTTTGCACCCTCAGATTCCAGATTTTCAAATAGTTGCATCTCGGCCAAATATTGACCTTTCGGATGATGTATAAATCTCAATTTCTAAAAATTGACACTTAAGACTGGTTTTGTGGTCCAGGGTCACATATTTAGAAAACATGCTCAGTTCACATATTTGTTTCTCCGAAAAACAAAGCTAGAGTCAGTTATTCTACTTTGAAATGTGAGTTCCGTGTCGGAATGTCTGTTTTTGTTTTGGTCTGTATGACTCCGCCCACTGTCAGTTTACCCAATAGTATGTGGGATAGGTTGTGGAAAACACAGCATACTGAAGCCAGCAAACTGGATCAGAGATCTAAAAAGCCTCGGCTCTATGACCTGACACCTATTAAAGCGTGGATAAATCAGTCAGTCGATTTAAAGTGTTTAAGGCTTGTTGCCTTCCGTTGTCAATTGCACTCGTTCCTGCTGTGTCCTCAATCTGGCAACCCACACGAGCATTGAGTCTACTGTAAAGAGAGGGAGAAACGACATTCTCCAGTATTTTGAATTTGGATGGTCATACCCATTTTAATCGTTAGCTGTCAATACTACATACTGCACCTAATACGTTAAAGCTGCAGTCCGTAACTTTTTTTGGTTAAAAATGAGCCGAAATCAATATTTGAGCAAGTACTACAAGTATTTAGCCAATGCACAGCGGTTAGCTTATAATAATTTAAATAATTTGAGTGGTACGGGTAGGTTTTCACGGGAAATTCGAGCATGGCACTGCGTCATTACGTCACGTCTGTAAACAAAGAAGTGGTCCCGGCTACTAGACTATTGCATGTGAGGATCCTGCAGGTGGAGGATCGTTTATAGCCTTTTCTCACAGCAGCTGGAATAATTAAATATATCATTTTGATAGTGGGTTGTAATCCAGAAAGGATTATGTGTTTATGAAACACATGTGAATGAAATTAAATTATATTCCAGTTTTAAATGTGCTTCTGATTACAGATAGCCTGGGATTACACAAGATCTGTATTTTAAAGAAAACCAGTTCAAAGAGAGAATAATTTGCTTTTTGGGTTAAAAGAATTTCTTAATATGAAATTCGAAGAGTACGACAATTAGATTAGACTGTGCAGAAATTGAAATCTACACGCTAATACACACTATACTCATA